CCTTCAGACAAGAAGGTATTTTAAGTTTTTACTATATGTACATATAGTGAAAATCAATGACCCCCGGGGCGGGGCCGATTTGGACCCCAGGAATATAATTTGAACAATCTATGTAGAGGTCTACCAGACAATGCCTTATGCAAAATATCTAAGCTCTAGGCCTTTTGGGTCTTTACAAGAAGATTTTTTAAATTTATTCTTATAATTCTTTATAATTCCAGAATTCTGCATGGAATGAAATTCTTTGAACAACTTTGGAAGGCCTTCACCCAAGGAACAATCCTGCCAAGTTTGGTTGAAATTGGACTAGTGGTTTTTCACAAGAAGATTTTTTAAGTTCTCTATATAATCTATATAACACACACACACACACACACACAAACAAACACACAGGTGAATCGCTATATGCCACCGCATCGCAGATGCTGCAGTGGCATAAAAATAAATTCACTATAAGATCAGTAAGTTCTTACTAGAGCAATGTATTTAATTTCATTGCTCTAGTAAGTACTATGTGTATGTATCCACCACATTTATAGTTATGAAAACCTTTTTTTTTTTTTTTTCCTGCCGCCAACCCTACCTTTTTTTTGGAAAAAATCAGTAAACCAAAATATAAACAAGGGTGCCATAGTCACAAAATACGCCCTTTTACGAAAGCTTTAGATGGAGATGGGGGCATTATGGATAAGTGTTATCTAGCAAGCAAGTTTTTATTCTTGGCACTGTGTTGTTAAATGAACCTTAAAACAAATCAGTAGGGAAGATATGCACAGGATGTGTGACCTTGACCTTGGTTGCAGGGACCTGAATTTTATGCACGGCACTCAGCCTCACAATGATGAACATTTGTGCCGAATTATATTGAAATCCCTCTATGCATGTAGAAGTTTTGCTCCAGACAAGTGTTTTTCTATGAGCTCTAACTGTGACCTTCACCTTTAACCTAGAGACTTGGTTCATGTGCAGGGCACTACGTCTCATGGTGGTGAACAATTCTATAAAGTAACATTAAAATTCCTCCATGCATGTACAAAATATGCTCCAGACAACATCTGGATATTTAATCATCTCCAGTGACCTTGACCTTGCAAATATTAACCTAAATTAAATGTGTCACACCTGTAGTCATGATAGTTACCATTTGTGCTACAATCCATCAATAAATGATGACTAAATGGTCCCTATACACATCTTCAAATTTTTATCTGAACTTTGACCTCTATGTGTAACCTTGACTTTGGTTGCAGGGATCTGAATTTTGCGTGCGACACTCAGTCTCACAATGGTGAACATTTGTGCCACGTTATATTGAAATCCCCCTATGAATGTAGAAGTTTTGCTCCGGACAAGCGTTTTTCAATGAGCTCTAAGTGTGACCTTGACCTTTGACCTGGAGACCTGGATCATGCATGGAGCAATACATATCATGGTGGTGAACATTTCCATAAAGTATTATAAAAATTCTTCCATACATGTAGGAGATATGCTCCAGACAAAATCTGGATATTTCACCATCTTAAGTGACCTTGACCTTGCATATATTGACCTAAAGTACATGTGTCACAGCTGTAGTCATGATAATGACCATTTGTGTTACAATCCCTCAATAAATGATGATTAAATCGTCCCTATACACATCTTCATATTTTTATCTAAACTTTGACCTCTATGTGTGACCTTGACCTTGGCTGCAGGGACCTGAATTTTGTGCGCGACACTCTGCCTAACAATGGTGAACATTTGTGCCAAGTTATATTGAAATCCCTCTATGCATGTGGAAGTTTTGCTCCGGACAAGCGTTTTTCAATGAGCTCTAAGTGTGACCTTCACCTTTGACCTAGAGACCTAGTTCATGTGCGTGACATGGCTTCTCATAATGGTGAACATTTCTATGAAATTTCATTAAAATCCCTCCATGCATGTAGGAGATATGCTCCGGACAAAATCTGGATATTTCATCATCTTTAGTGACCTTGACCTTGTATATATTGACCTAAATTATATGTATCACAGCCATAGTCTTGATAATGACCATTTGTGTTACAATCCCTCAATAAATGATGACTAAATGGTCCATATACACATCTTCATATTTTTATCTGAACTTTGACCTCTATGTGTGACCTTGACCTTGGCCGCAAGGACCTGAATCTTGCGCGCGACACTCCGCCTCACAATGGTGAACATTTGTGCCAAGTAATATTGAAATCCCTCTATACATGTGGAAGTTTTGCTCCGGACAAGCATTTTTCAATGAGCTCTAAGTGTGACCTTGACCTTTGACCTAGAGACCTGGTTCATGTGCGCGACACTGCTCCTCATAGTGGTGAACATTTCTATGAAGTTTCATTAAAATCCCTCCATACATGTAGGAGATATGCTCCGGACAAAATTGTACGCCGCCCGCCCGCCAGGGACTTTCCCATATTACATCCCGTTTTTCAAACGGGCGTATAAAAACAAGAGGGCCATGATGGCCCTGAGGTCGCTCACCTGTATATAGCCCCCCCCCCCCACACCCATAAGAAGATGTTTCATGCTAAACATCTAAGCTCTAGCTCATTGGGCTTTTTAAAAGAAGATTTTTTTTAAGTTTTTACTATACACATATAGTTAAAAACAATGACACCCCTGGGGAGGGGCCAGTTTTGACCCCAGGGCTTTTATTTGAACAAACTTTGTAGACACTTACTAGAAGATGTTTCATGCTTAATATCTAAACTCTAGCTATTTGGGTTTTTTCAAAGAAGATTTTAAGTTTTTGCTATACACATATAAGGAAAATCAATGACCCCCGGGGAGGGGCCAATTTTGACCCCAGGGCTTTAATTTGAACAAACTTTGTAGACACTCACTAGAAGATGTTTCATGCTTAATATCTAAACTCTAGCTATTTGGGTTTTTTCAAAGAAGATTTTTTAAGTTTTTGCTATACACATATAAGGAAAATCAATGACCCCCGGGGCAGGGCCAATTTTGACCCCAGGGCTTTTATTTGAACAAACTTGGTAGACACCTATTAGAACATGTTTGATGCTAAATATCTTAGCTCTAGCTCTTTGAGTTCTTTAAAAGAAGATTTTTTAAGTTTTTACTATATGCATATAGGGAAAATCAATGACCCCCTGGGGCGGGGCCAATTTTGACCCCAGGGCTTTTATTTGAACAATCTTGGTAAACACTGATTAGAAGATGTTTCATGCTAAATATCTTAGCTCTAGCTCTTTGGGTTCTTTAAAAGAAGATTTTTTAAGTTTTTACTATATGCATATAGGGAAAATCAATGACCCCCTGGGGCGGGGCCAATTTTGACCCCAGGGCTTTTATTTGAACAATCTTGGTAGACACTCATTAGAAGATGTTTCATGCCAAATATCTAAGCTCTAGCTCTTTGGGTTTTTTAGAAGAAGATTTTTTTAAGTTTTTACTATATGCATATAGGGAAAATCAATGACCCCCTGGGGCGGGGCCAATTTTGACCCCAGGGCTTTTATTTGAACAATCTTGGTAGACACTTATTAGAAGATGTTTCATGCTTAATATCTTAGGTCTAGCTCTTTGGGTTCTTTAAAAGAAGATTTTTTAAAGTTTTTACTATATGCATATAGGGAAAATCAATGACCCCCTGGGGCGGGGCCAATTTTGACCCAAGGGCTTTTATTTGAACAAACTTGGTAGACATCCATTAGAACATGTTTCATGCCAAATATCTAAGCTCTAGCTCTTTGGGTTTTTTAGAAGATGATTTTTTAAAGTTTTTACTATATGCATATAAGGAAAATCAATGACCCCCTGGGGCGGGGCCAATTTTGACCCCAGGGCTTTTATTTGAACAATCTTGGTAGACACTCATTAGAAGATGTTTCATGCTTAACATCTTAAGTCTAGCTCTTTGGATTCTTTAAAAGAAGATTTTTTAAAGTTTTTACTATATGCATATAGGGAAAATCAATGACCCCCTGGGGCGGGACCAATTTTGACCCCAGGGCTTTTATTTGAACAATCTTGGTAGACACTTACTAGAAGATGTTTCATGCCAAATATCTAAGCTCTAGCTCTTTGGGTTTTCTAGAAGAAGATGTTTAAAGTTTTTTCTTTTGGTTGCCATGGCAACCAGAGTTCTGCATGGAATGGAATTCTTTGAACAACTTTGTTAAGGCTTCACACAAGGAACATCCCTGTGAAGTTTCATTATGATCTGCCTTATGGTTTCAGAGGAGATGTCGTTTGAAAAGTGTGAACGGACAACGGACTACGTACGACATACGACGGACGACAGACGAAGAGTGATCCTAATAGCTCACCCTGAGCATATGCTCAGGTGAGCTAAAAATGAACAAAGGGCAATAACTCCAAAATTAGTGAAGGCAGAGTTAAGGTTCTTTTGCACTGCACTTCTACCAAATGAGATCTATCTACCTACAAAGTTTCATGCTGATTTCTCTTAAAGTATTAGAGATATGTTCCGAACAAAGTTCAAAGTGTAAAAATGAAGGGCAATAACTCCAAAACTAGGCAAGGCAGAGTTATGGTTCTTTTGCATTGCACTTCTATTTAATGAGATCTATCTACCTACAAATTTTCTCATTGATACCTCTTATTGTTTCAGAGCTCTGTCCCGGACAAGGTTCAAAGTAAAACAAGGGTTTTCAGACAAGATTTTATCTTCCTCAATGCCCTCTACCACTTTGTGCAGTTTAAACAAATTATGTCCAAGGGTTTTTTAGTTTTGCTCCGGACAAAATGGACAGACAGATGGACAAGGCGGCGCCTATGTTTTCCCTTCAAGGAACATAAAAAAATATTATAATGGCTGGGTAGCATAGTGGTGAATGTGTTAGATGGGAATATAAGGATTTCTGTTTACATGGATTCCAGCAAGAAACTTTACATTCATGGTTAGTTCCAGGAACAAATTTGAAGGTGTGTCTATAAGCTTATGGCTTCCTTCACAACCAAACTAAAACAATGTCTGTATAATGTAAACAACAACATACCTTCCAATAAAGTTGTGTTGTTCAGCCACACTCTCTAAATGGGCTACTGAGCCGTGTCTTAATTCAATTTCACCATTTACATCCAAACTTGCAGATACTAACCAAAATATACAAAAAATAATGACAAATATTAATTCAAACATAATATTGTCAGGGGAATATAATAATAAATCAATTTCATACATTGCAAATGCTTATGAATTACTCAACAAATGTTTAATATTTTTTTATTAGCATGGATGAAACATTTTGCATCAAAAAATGTGTAATACTGTCAAGATTTATTCTTATTAACCCTTGCCATACTAAATTATTTATATGGACTTGTCTGTACAAAACCATTAATCATTTTTAGAAAAAAATATAGACAGACTGCAAAGCAATAAGTACAGAGTATGATCAGATGGCATGGTTGTGTCGACTGATCTTGGTCTGCACTTGTCTCATGAGTATATTTTGTAGCCACGGATATATCATAATTATCTGTAAAACTTTCAAAACAAAGGCAACATTGTCGCAAAATACGGCCATCACAAAAGCTTTTGTCAGGGATGTGGGCATTATAGATATGCATATGGATAGGGGTGTGGATCGTCCAATAAGTGACGATCCGATCCGAACCACGATTCAGCACTTACGATTCACAAATCGAACCACAAATCTTTTGTTATCAAGACACCCATAAAAGCATATTTATTTTATAAAAAACAACAATACTAAACATTTAACATATAAAATATAAACTAGGATTATGTTTTTATTCTTTGGAGGAGTATTTTTGTTTTGTTTTTTTGAAACCAATTACTTCCTAGCTCAGCATCATGGAACATGGTCTTTAACCGGCAAATTGTATTTAGGTAAACTTCATATAATTTATACTCAAATTGTATTTTTCTCGATTTTATGAGTGTGAGAAACAGTGAATGTATATAAAAAAAATTAGATCCCGATCCACGATCTCTGGGCTTACGAATATTCAAACTCAAATTTTCATTTTGATTCGTGATTATCTGAGTACTCGGATACTCGCCCCAGCCCTACATATGGACAATATGCACTTGGCAATATCTGGATATTTTATCATCTCAAGTGACTTTGCCCTTGCAAATATTAATCTAAATTACATGTGTCACACTTATACATGATAGTTATCATTTGTGTTACAATCCATCAATAAATGATGACTAAATGGTCCCCATACACAAACTTACCTCACTATGGGACTTTGACTTTGGTAGCAGGGACCTGGATTATCTGCTCAATACTTAGCTTCACGGTAGTCACGATAATGACCATTTGTGTTTCAATCCCGCAATAAATGATGACTTAATCATCCAAATGCACATTTTCATATTTTTATCTGAATTTTAACCCCTATGGGTTACCTTGACCTTGGCCGCAGAAACCTAAAATTTGCATGCGACACTCAGCCTTACAATGGTTAACATTGGTGTCAAGTTATATTGAAAATCTGCTATGCATGTAGAAGATTTCCTTCAGACAAGAGTTTTTCAATGACCTCTAAGTGTGACCTTGACCTTTGACCTAGAGACCTGGTTTATGCGCATGACACTGCTTCTCTTAGTGGCGAACATTTGTATAAAGTTTCATTAAAATCCCTCAATATGTGTAGGAGATATGCTCTGGACAAAATCTCTATATTTTATCACCTTTAAAGACCTTGACCTTGCATATAATAACCTAAATTACACCTTTCACAACCATAGTCATGATAATGACCATTTGTGTTTCAATCCCTCAATAAATGATGACTTAATGGTTCAAATACACATTTTCATATTTTCATCTGAACTTTGACCCTTATGTGTGACCTTGACCCTGGCCACAGGGACCTGCATTTTAAATGCTTCACTCCACCTCACCATGGTTTACATTTGTGCCAAGTTTATATTGAAATCCCTCAATGCATGTAGAAGTTTTGCTCCGGACAAGTGTTTTTCAATGACCTCTAAGTGTGACCTTGACCTTTGACCTAGAGACCTGGTTCATGTGCGCAACACTTCTTCTGATAGTGGTGAACATTTCTATGAAGTTTCATTAAAATTCCTCAAAGCGTGTAGGAGATATGCTTTGGACAAAAATTGGACGCGCTTTTGGAGGCATGGTGAAAACATATAATAAAATGATTTGCAAATCATTCTGAACTAGAACTGTGTCCAAAGGACACGGATGCCCCCACTGACAACATATATATGGTATATAGTGGAAAAATCAACAAAGGGCCATAATTCTGTTAAATTTGGTCGCAGCAAAAATTCCTTCCTTACTTCCATCTACACATTAAGGTTGTTCATCCCTGGAAGTTAAAGCAAAATCTGCCATCCGGTTTAAGAGGATTTTTTTTTTTTTTTTTTTTGGAACTACGTTTAAGGCCCATTTATTTCCATTTTCCATTTTACAGAATACATTCATTGTACATTATTCAATTAGTTATTTTACATAACATACATTACAAACTAATATATATGTTGTTGTAGACATTTTAAAATAATTTCAAAGAGCTTAAACGTGAATCTCTTTAATGAAAAGTTAAGAAAAAGGATATTATATTTTAAACAAGATTAAGTTTTGTTGAATCAATAATAAAACTTTTTTGAGTCAGTGGGAAACATCCTGAAAATTTGGGAAGGTGCTAAAATATAAAAGGATAATTTGCAAGAGAAAAAAACTGTAATAAACCAAAACATATTTTCCAACAAACTACGATAAGATAAACAAGAGCACCGCTAGGCGGAGCATTATATGCCCGAAAGTGTTTTCTTTTTAGTAAGGATGAAGCATTTGTAAGACATGGGAATAAGCTGTTCATCCTATAAAATTTTACAGCTGTAGGTTGATTAATACTTAAGTTATTAATAATGACCTTAACCTTTGACCTTGTGACCCCAAAATCAATAGGGGTCTTCTACCTAATATGGACAATCATCCTAAGAAGTTTGAATATTGTGGGCCAAATGGAACTTTAGTTATGCTCCGGAAACTGTTTTCAATTTTAAGGTAATAGTGACCTTGACCTTTGACCTTGTGACCCAAAAATCAATAGGGGTCTTCTACCTAATATACACAATCATACTGTGAAGTTTGAATATTGTGGAACAAATGGAACTTAAGCAATGCTCTAGAAACTGTTTTCAGTAATAAGGTAAAAGTGACTTTGACCATTGACCTTGTGACCCTAAAATCAATAGGGGTCTTCTACCCAATATGGACAGTCATCCTATGAAGTTTGAATATAGTGGGCCAAATTTACAATATGCTCCAGAAATAGTTTTTGTTTTTAAGGTAATTGTGACCTTGACCTTTGACCTAGTGACCCAAAATCAATAGGGGTCTTCTACCCAATATGGACAATAATCCTTTGAAGTTTGAATATTGTGGGCCAAATAGATCTTAAGTTATGCTACGGAAACTGTTTTCAGTATTAAGGTAATAGTGACCTTGACCTTTGACCTTGTAACCCCAAAATCAAAAGGGGTCTTCTACCCAATATGGACAATCATTCTATGATATTTTAATATTGTGGGCCAAATGGAACTTAAGTTATGCTCCGGAAACTGTTTTCAATTTTAAGGTAATTGTGACCTTGACCTTTGACCGTTTGACCCCAAAATCAATAGTGGTCTTCTACCTAATATGGACAATCACCCTATGAAATTTGCATATTGTTAGCCAAATGGAACTTAAGTTATGCTCTGGAAACCAAATAGTCTGATTAACTGTATATAAAATATCTCATACAATGACAATATTTATATGTGACAATTTAATGTAGAACTGACATCAACTAACTCAATTAATAAAATAATAATAACAATAAAAGAAAAAAGACGCTCTATCATAATAATAACAATAAAAGAAAAAAGACGCTCTATCACTTTGGGTTTTTTAAAAGAAGCCTTTTTTGTTTTTAGCTTGACTTTTTTTGAAAAAAAGTAGAGGTATTGTTATAGTCGCGGCGGCATTGCCGTTGCCGTCCGCAAACTTGTACCTGGATCATAACTTTTTTAGTTCTTGGTGTATTGTCTTCATACTTGGCCACAACAACCCTTGGGACAAGACCTTTCAGTAGACCACACTAACCTTGACCTTCATCCATAATGACCTTGACCTTCAAGGTCAAAAGTCCAAATTTTGCTTGTTCTTGCTATTATTGGCTTAACTTTAGTTATTTTTGAATGGATTGTCTTCAAACTTGCACATTATAATCTTCAAGGATATCCCTTAAAAATAACCAGACAGACCTTTACCTTCACTCATAAATGACCTTGACTTTGAAGGTCAAATTATTGAAATTTTCATTTTTTTGGCTATTACTGGCTGAGCACAACAACAACAACAACAACATCGAATTTGTTTATATTTATAGAATTGCATGTTTCTATTTTTAGAATTGCGTGTTTCTATTTTTAGAATTGCGTGTTTCTATTGATAGAATTGCTTGTTTCTATTTTTAGAATTGTGTGTTTCTATTTTTAGAATTGCACGTGTTTCTATTTTTAGAATTGTGCGTGTTTTTTTATTTTTAGAATTGCGTGTTTCTATTTTTAGAATTGCACGTCTCTATTTTTAGAATTGCGGTTTCTATTTATAGAATTGCGTGTTTCTATTTTTAGAATTTTGTGTTTCCATTTATAGAATTGCGTGTTTCTATTTATATAAATAAATGAGTATATTTATATATACAAAATATATAGACAAAACTAATGTGACAAGACAGACCGATTAAATTTATAAAAAGGAAACGTTAGGATTTGTTCAAACCTTTCTTTGCTTGCTTTAGGAAAAAGTAAAAAGTCAAGTGTTGCCCCCGCCCGGGGGTGTCTCTTGTTACTATATAAATATAAGCAAAATCAATGAGCCCTGAGGTGTTGCCAATTATGACCCAAGGGCTTAAATTTGAACAAAACTTAGTAGACACACATTAGAAGATGTTTCATGCCAAATATCTAAGCTCTATCTCTTTTGTTTAAGTTTTTATTATGTACATATTAGGAAAATCAATGACCCCTGGGGTGTGGTCAATTTTGACCCCAGGGCTTTTATTTCAACAAACTTGGTAGACACTCACTAGAAGATGTTTCATTCTTAATATCTAAGCTCTAGCAATTTGATTGTTTTAAAAGAAGATTTTTTAAGTTTTTAATAAATACATATAAAGAAAATCAATAACCCCCTGGGGCAGGTCAATTTTGACACTTGGTAGACACTCACCAGAAGATGTTTCATGCCAAATATCTAAACTCTAGCTCTATGGGTTTTTTAAAAGAAGATATTTTTAACTTTTTTCTTTCGGTTGCCATGGCAATTGGCAACCAACCAGAGTTTTGCATGGAATTAAATTCTTTGAACAATTTTTAAAGGTGAGCACCAAAGGAACATTCCTGTGAAGTTTGAATGAAATTGGCTTACTTGTTTATGAAGAGATGTCGTTTAAAGTAAAAGTTTACGGATGAAAAAAAAAAAGTTTACGGACGGACAAAAAGTGATCACAAAAGCTCACCATATCACTTTGTTACAGGTGAGCTAAAAAGTCAAATTCATCTGAGAAAGAATATTATAGGAAAGAGTTCTCCAAGAAAACATGATTTTCTTGTAAAAGAATAAAATTTTAATTTCATATTTGACCTTAGCGGTAAAGGTCATTGAAAGATTAAGGTCACATTTGAATTAATCATCATGTCATGTTTGTCATAAATGCTCTTGTTTAACAATCAATCAAACCCTTAAATAAATAACCAAAAGATATGACAATTCAAGCACATTTCAATAATTTGACCTTGATGGTCAAGGTCAATTAAAGGTGAAGGTAATATCACATTAATTCAACATGTTGGTTTTGTCATATGTGTTCTTTTGATGAATCAAATTTGTAAATAAATAACAAAAGTATAAATATCTGTAAATAGATGACAAAATTATACAAATTTATGCAAATTTCAATATTTTCACCTTAACCATCAAGGTCAAATTAAGGTCTAGGTCATATATAAATTTTGAAAAATATGGGTTTTGTCATAAGGTTTTTTTCGCACTAGTATAAATCAAATCCATAAATAAATAACAAAGTTATGGCCAGTTGTAGCAAAAGTCACTAATATCACCTTTAGTGTCAGCGTCAAATTAATGTCAAGATCAGGTACAAATAAATCTTCCATAAAGTTTCGTCCAGACTCAGTTGTGCATAAGTATGACAAAAAAGTAACAGCCAGTTGTGGCTAAAAAATGGTGAAATCACAAAAATTTGACCTTCCAATCAACATCATTTATAAGTAAAGGTCAAATTGTGTTTGATCTTCTTAATTTAGACATTCTTCTTAAGGAAGTGGAAGTTGTGCTCAAAATTATAAGGACAATCCATACATATAATAATTAACAAAGTCATAGCCAATAATAGTCTTCCAATACTTTTACCACTACTTATCTGTATTCAACATGTTACTGCAAACATCTCCCTGATGATTATCAAATTACAGTTGGATAAGGGATAAGTGTTGGATTTATTGTCTTATAAAAATAAATTTTGTACTCTGCTGGTGTTTCTGTTATTTCCACACATTGTGTAAATCACTTACCTTGTCTGTTGGCAAGATCATGGTATATTTCCTCTTCTATCTAAAAATACAAGAGAACATTCATACAAAATAGTAGATAATGATGTGAAAATTGCAATATAAGTAGGGACTTCTGATTTATAGTCAGAAAAAAAGAATAATTAAGTTCTAGAGAGGCAAAGATAAATTCCCTTTTGAACTAAAAGTACAGTCTGTAATCATATTCCTATGCTCAGTTTTTCTCAATACTTACAGAAGTCTACAGATGTAAAAATGTCAGTTAATATATCCATTAGAAGACTTAAAAACATAATAAGTTCAAAATACTCAGACAAATGAGTGCATTACTCAAACAAAATCCTTTTTTTCTGAAAGGCTTTAAAAGGTTTCCCTCATTTTTATAATGCAGCAATTGATAATTCTCCACACAATGAGACTTAAAAAGTCTCAAATTGTCTGCGATGTCATAGCAAGACATTAATTTGTTATATATTCTTCTTCATCATTCCTATTTCTACCTTAAGTCTGTTATAAATTTGTTAGAATGAGAGATTGGTTGATGACATAACTAATCATATGGCACCACCATTACATTGTTTATTATAACTTTAATAAAAAGTTACAAATACAAACAAACTCAAATCATATTATGGCTGCTTTTTATTAAAAAAACAAAAACAAAAAAAAAACAACAAAAACAAGACAAGAGTGTGAGTCACTCACCAGAAACAATTGTCTTTCAGTGTTAGAAATTATTTTTCAAATTAACTTGACAAAAGGCAAGTCCAGCTCAACTTAACTTGCCCCTCTCAAGTTATATACTTTCACAACACTGATTGTTTTGTGTTTTTACTTCATAATAAACAATACGTTTAAAGACATTTTCTACAGTTTTATGAAAATTTGATCCTTTCATAGAATTTTCTAAATTTCTTGTATGATAAATGGCGAATTCAAAAACAAGAGGGCCATGATGGTCCTAGATTGCTCACCTGACCCATCAAATTCATCTGTACAATTACCTAGACAAGTATTCTGACCAAGTTTCATGACAGGTGAGTCAAAAATGTGACCACAAGTGTTAACAAGGATTATCCATATTTGAGCAGATATAATCTGAACAAATTTCTTTAAAAAATGAGTTTTTCATGCTTCTTAACTGAAAATGAGAAAAATAAACATGAATTCTGTAAATAATTAAAAATATCAAACATTTTCTTTCAAAGGATTTTCTACATTTTTGATATATAAAGTAAAAATTTATGGTGATTTCAAAAATAGAAATAAAAATATAATGTTGACGAGTTAGTTTTTTTTTGTAAACGTGCTGTTTCCATGGTTACCGCACATGCAAACTGTCAAAATAACCATGCTAAATTAAGAAATATTAGTGTTATACTAAATGTAATGTTATATATACAGTTGCTGTTTCCAAAGCACCACCATCAAGTTGTTATCTTGTAAGTAAAATGCTACGATGGATGGACGGAAAGACGGAGGGGTATAACATAATATAAGTACATTTTTTTATGGCATATAATTAATGTATTCAATAAAGGTAATCATCCTATGAAGTTTGACAGTTGTAAAACTGTTAACAATATTAAGGTCATTTGATATTGACCTTTGACCTTGTTACCCCAATATAGATAAGGATCTTTAATATAGGCAATCATCTTATGAAGTTTGAACACTGTAAGCCAAATTGAACTTGTGTTATGCTCCAGAAACCACAATTTTCAGTGTTAAGGTCATTGTGACCCTGACCTTTGACCTTATGACCCTAAAATCAATAGGGGGTCATGTATTGGACATGGCTGTTCATCCTATAAATTTTTACAGCTGTAGGTTGATTAATACTTAAGTTATTGAGCAGAAACTGTTTTCAGTTTTAAGGTTATAGTGACTTTGACCTTGTGACCCAAAAATCAATAGGGGTCTTCTTCTCAATATGGACAATCATCTTATGAAGTTTGGATACTGTGGGTCAAATGGAACTTAAGTTATGCTCTGGAAACCAAATTGCTAACGGACGGCCGGCTGGAGGAACGGACGGGCGGACGCCAAGGGGTATAACATTATATGTCCGAAATTCTTTCGGGCATATAGAAAGTAGGTCAAGCGATATCTAAAATTGGCCAGTTGATATAAAAATTCAATTCAGGATCAGGAATTAAGCCCTTTGTCTAAATTTCAAGTAGGTACATAAAAAAACAAAAAAACGAGAAACTAGGTCAAGTGATATCATCAATATCAAAAGTAGTCAGTTAATATCTTAATTCAATTATATTCCTGGTCCAAAATTCAAGTCTGTACATCAAACAAGAGCGATCAGTGATCACATGTGTCGCCTCATGCTGGCCATTTCATGTTGGGACAAGTTTTGTGACAGACGGACAGACAGAGGAACAGTGCACAACTAGACTTGGCACTGATCATTCCTGTAAAGTTTGGATAAAATTGCACAAGTAGTTTATGAGGAGTAGTCCGGACAAGCTTTTGTGTATCTGGCAACACACAGAAAAAAACACCTTTTTATCAAAGGGCCATAACTCGGCCAAAAATGCTGACAATATGCACAACTAGACTTGGTACTGATCATTCCTGTAAAGTTTGGATGAAATTGCACCTGTAGTTTATGAGGAGTAGTCCGGACAAGCTTTTGTGTATCTGGCAACACACAGAAACAAGAGTGATCAGTGATCACATGTGTCGCCTCATGATGGCCAATTTCATATTGGGACAAGTTTTGTGACAGACGGACAGACAGACAGTGCACAACTTGACTTGGTACTGATCATCCCTGTAAAGTTTGGATGAAATTGCACCAGTAGTTTATGAGGAGTAGTCCGGACAAGCTTTTGTGTATCTGGCAACACACAGAAAAAAACACCTTTTTATCAAAGGGCCATAACTCGGCCAAAAATCATTCAACCGGAAAACCCGTGCAATATGCGCAAGGACTTGAGCTACAGATCAATCCTGTAAAGTTTCATTGAAATTGCATTAGTCGTATAAGAGAAGTAGTCCGGACAAACTTTAAAAATAAAAATTATTAAAGGGCCATAACTCTGACAAAAATTATTGAACCGAAAAATGCTGACAATATGCACAACTAGACTTGGTACTGATCATTCCTGTAAAGTTTGGATGAAATTGCACCAGTAGTTTATGAGGAGTAGTACGGACAAGTTTTGTGACGGACAGACAGACGGACGGACAGACAGACGACGGAGAAGTGATCCCTATATGTCGCCACTACTCCGTAGAGGCGACACAAAAAACACCTTTTTATCAAAGGGCCATAACTCGGCCAAAAATCATTCAACCGGAAAACCCGTGCAATATGCAAAAGGACTTGAGCTACAGATCAATCCTGTAAAGTTTCATTAAAATTGCATCAATAGTCGTATAAGAGAAGTAGTCCGGACAAACTTTAAAAATAAAAATTATTAAAGGGCCATAACTCTGACAAAAATCATTGAACCGGAAATTGTTGACAATATGCACAACTAGACTTGGTACTGATCATTCCTGTAAAGTTTGGATGAAATTGCACCAGTAGTTTATGAGGAGTAGTCCGGACAAGCTTTTGTGTATCTGGCAACACACAGAAAAAAACACCTTTTTATCAAAGGGTCATAACTCGGCCAAAAATCATTCAACTAGAAAACCCGTGCAATATGCCCAAGGACTTGAGCTACAGATCAATCCTGTAAAGTTTCATTGAAATTGCATTAGTGGTATAAGAGAAGTAGTCCAGACAAACTTTAAAAATAAAAATTATTAAAGGGCCATAACTCTGACAAAAGTCATTGAACCAGAAAATGCTGACAAAATGCACAACTAGACTTGGTACTGATCATTCCTGTAAAGTTTGAATGAAATTGCACCAGTAGTTTATGAGGAGTAGTCCGGACAAGTTTTGTGACGGAGGGACAGACGGACGGACAGACGACGGAGAAGTGATCCCTATATGTCGCAACTACTCCGTAGAGGCGACACAAAAACAAGAAAGTTATGGAAATGGTTTCAAAAACATCAATAACAGCTCAACTGATACCAAAATACAATTATGCAGATTCAACAGTGTGTCCCAAAATTTATTGAAATGTGCCTTCTACAAGTTTGAATCCAATTAAAAAACAAGAAATGTCTAACGACACATATGCCTCTTTCTAGCCCTTGACTCATACTATTGGTAATTTTGTTATAGAAACATGCTATGAATGGGTACATGGAAGTGTTCAGTTATGGAAAAGAAAATAATGACCAATATATGACCTGAAACTAAATGAAAGCTATCATTAATAAGTTATACAAGTTGGAGGGTAGCTCGAATAAAATATATATTATCATATAAATGTAACCATTCTGATATGTAAGGCCCCTATGACCTTGACCCCAAATCAATAGTGGTCATCTACTAGTTATGGCCAATCAATATGTGAAATATGAAATGTTTGTGATAAATAGTCTTTAAGATAATGAGCCGAAACTATTCTGACATTTAAGGCCCGTGACCTTGACCTTTGACATAGAGACCCCAAAAAACAACAGGGATAATCTACTAGTTATAACCAATTAGTATGTGAAATATGAAGACTTTCTGATAAATACTTTTCAAGATAATCAGCGGAAACCATTATGACATTAAAGGCAACTGTGACCTTGACCTTTGACCAAGTGATCTCAAAATCATTTAGGGTCATATACAAGTTATGACCAATCAGTATGTAAAATATGAAGACATTGTGATAAGTAGTTTTCAATATTATCAGCAGAAACCATTTTGACATTTAAGGCACTGTGACCTTGACCTTTGACCTAGTTACCAAAAATTCTTACACCTAGTGACCCCAAAATCAATAGGAGTCATATACTAGTTATGACTAATCAGTAAGTGAAATATGAAGACTTTGTGATGAATAGTTTACAAGATAATCAGCAGAAACCATTCTGACATTTAAGGCCTTTGTGACCTTTACCTTTGACCTAGTGACCCCAAAATCAATAGGGGTCATCTTCTAGTTATGACCAATCAGTATGTGAAAAATAAAG